TAATATCTTGACTGATCAGTAATTTATTAAAGCCCTTACACGTGCCAAGCAGTGTTGGAATCTGGGGGTACAAAGAAAAACACATGTATGCATTAGAATGGGTTCTCACCCATTCTAATGGTCCCACAACCTGTTGTGGTGGATACTGTCAGACTTTAAGTATGTGAAGACCTGAGTTCAAATTCTTCAGATGCCTAATAGCTGTGTGGCCCTGAGCAATTAACCTAACCTGTCAGACTGTTTCCCCGTTTGTAAAATGGGGATAATAATTTCAACGACTCCCCCCCCCCCGGTTGCTGTGAGGATACATCGAGGCAATCTATGGGCAGCGCTTCGCACACCTTAAAAGCGTAATGTAAACGTCGTCTTATTATTATCACTCATGGGAGAATGAGCACATGAATATCTAGGTGCTTGTGGACAGAGAAGGTAATCTGGTGGGGGGTGGGGCGGGACGGGACTGGATGGAGCTCTCGGGTGACCTGCGGGCGGCTCCAGCCCTCGGCCGGCGTGGAGGGGGTTGGACCAGATGACCTCTAGCCCCAACCGTGCCAGCCTCTCGTGAGTCCTCCCACCCTGCAGAGGGCGCAGGCGGAGTCTGACAGGGCCGGCCGGGCCGGGCCGAGCCGCGGCCTCTATGGGGCCTGCCATGCCGGGAGCGAGTGCCGAGGCAGAGGTTCCGGCGTCGCCAGGCGGAGGGGCGGGCGGGCCAGGGCCCGAGGAGCCGGCCCGGGCCGGGGTAAGCCAGTGGGGCGAAGAGGAGGGGAGGGGAGGATAGAGCAGAGGAGGGGGGGAAAGGAGAGAGAAATCCGCCGCCTGGGAAGGGTGCGGGGAGGTGGGGCGTCCTCACAGTGTGGGGATGGCCTGCCTGGGCCTCTTCCTCCCCAGTTCCCCTGCTTGGGAGCCCCCCGCCCGCCCCCGGGCTCCGGCGCCCCCCAGTGGCCGCTGCCTGAGATCCACCTCCAGCTCCTTCCCTCTGGTGCTCTCCTGCCTGAGAGCCCCGCCCATCCGCTCCCTCATTCTGGCGCCCCCGAGTGGCAGCTTTCGGAGAGCCCCCGAGCTCCCCTTCCCTCTGGCGCTCCCTTGCCTTAGAGCTCCGCCCACTCGCCCCTTCCCTCTGGCGCCCCCCAGTGGCTCTTGTCTGAGCTCTTCCTCCGACTCCTCTCCTCTGCCTGAGTGCCTGCGCACCTCTTCTCTCTGGCGCCCCCAGTGGCTGTTGCCTGAACTCTACCTCCGACTCTCCTCTGCCTGAGTGCCTGCGCACCTCTTCTCTCTGGCGCCCCCCAGTGGACGCTCCTTGCAAAGTTGCGTGCTTTCCTTTTGACCATCAGCGCACGACCCTTCTCTCTCCTCCTGGCCCCCCAGCCCGCCTCCTGCCTTGTGGGCTTTCCAGCTCCCCCAACCCGCTGGAATTGTTGTGGAAAGAGTGCTGAGCCTTCATTCCTGGGCCCTAATTCTCATCCCATCTGTGACACGACTATGTGACCTTGACCAAGTTAATTATTTCTCTGGGCCTCAGTTTCCCTCTTAGTAAAATGAGGATGTTGGACTAGACAAGGTCTCTCTGCTCTAGATCTCTGATCTTACACTGTAGGGTGTCCCCACTCAGGGCCTTTGAGATGCCATCGGCATCCCATTCCCCCCTTTTCCAAGGATCCTGCCAGGGATGGGGCTTTCTAAGAGCCCTGCCCTAGGGCCCTCTGCCCCAGCCATTGAAGGCCCTGCCTCCCCCCACCCGCTGCCCCTGACCTCCCTGCTCCAGGCTGGAACTGCATCTTCTTGGGAAGGGGGATGAGGTAGAGTCCTGGTGGAGGTCCCCCCCCAGCCCTGGGGAAGGATGGAGTGCAGATTCTCTAGGCTGAATCCTTCCTTCGAAGACCCCTGTTCTTGAGGCCGTCGATGGGGGGATAGGAGGAAAGGAGACACAGCCTTCCCAAGGTCACTGTACCTACCTAGGTTGACCCTCTGTGAAATGGGTCCACGAGAGCTGATCAGAGCCCTCACATTTCTCCCTCCTCCTCATTCCCACAGAGCCAAGTCCGAGTGCGGGACCTGCTGTTGCAGATTCAAGACCTTCAGGCGGAGCGCTCTGAGGCCTTTGGACTCCTAGACCAGTTAGTGAGGGTCAGGGGGTCTTTGGGGAGGGCCTGGGGCTGATGCTTGGGAGCAAGGGCCAGGGACCTGGAGGCTGAAATGCAGAGAGGCAGAAGTGATGGTGCCTCCTGACAGTTGTCGCCTGGTGATTTAGCTTGCCTGGGCCCCTGTAAGATGAGGGGTCTTGGGTTAGGTGCTGCGACTCAGCCTGACCCCCTTACGCTCTTTGCTGAACCTGCTTCCTCACAGGGGTCACCGGGCCTACCTGAGGAGTGGTCCTTGCTATGACTTCCCTCGCTACCGGCAGCTGGTTCATGAGGTGACCGAGGCCTTTGCCAGCATCTCTCGAGAAGTGCTGGCCATCCGGGAGCGGCTCCGGGACACCCATGGGCGGCCTGACCTCGCCCAGCACCTGGCCCGTCTGCAGGACCAGGAGCAACGGCGACTGGAGCTGGTCAGCCTTCTCCTGCCCAGCCCCCGTGGCTCAGCCCTGCCCCACACCCCTGTACCCTCATACCCTTGGCCTCTGCCTAACCCTACTTCATCTAGTCCTTCACCGTCCCTGGGTCCCCTCCTTACTGACTGGTCCCGAGGTTCTATGCCTAGACTCCTCTGGGGTGGGCAAGGGGCTAGGCAGGCGGGTGTGGATATGCATGGGGAGAGTGTCCTTGGGCAAAAACTCAGGGAGCTCTCCTCTCCCCCCACCCCAGACAGCGGCTTTACAGCTGGCCCGGCAGAAGGCCCAAGAGGAGCCAGGGGCTGCGGCCCCCAGAGAGGAGGTTCAGGAACTGCGCCAGAGGTGGGGGCCGAGCTGCTGCCCTGGGGAGGCAGGACTGAGCTGGTCCAGGCCTAGGGAGGGAGGCCGGAAGGCTGGGCGGGGAGGAAAAGGCCTGACATGTCCCTAAGTCCCTGGGCATTCCCTTCTTTCCTCCTCCCCTCCCTTTATCTCTCTCTTATGAACATGTACACACACAAACACACACACACACACACACTTGTACACAGTCATGTGTGCTCTTTATTCATATAGAAACTGACACAGTCACACATGTATACACTTCTCTATACGCACACATGTATACAACCTCCCCCTCATCACACTCAGAATCACCAGCCTTCATGTGATTGTCACACACACACACACACACACACACACACACACACACACACACACACATACACACACAGAGCCCTCCTTGGGGGGCTGGGGGTGTTAGATTCCTTCGTCACATTCTTGCTCCTGAATGCCCACAGCACTTCCACTCTGGGGGTCTTCCACCCTCATTTTCTGCCCCAGGGGATTTCTCTGTTTCTTTCTGGGGGTCTCCTTGCCGTCCCTGTGTGTAGTCATCCTTCCTCAAGCCCTTGTCTCATCTCTTTCCTCTCACATCTCTCTCCTGGCTCTGGATGTTAGTTTTTCTCCAGTCTGTCTCCCACCTCTCTTTACCTCCCTCTTCGCAGTGTTGCTGCCCCTCCTCTGTGTCTCTCCGTCTCTTCTCTGTCTCCCTCCTCCTTGCATCTCACATGCCACTGACTTGGTGGGCTGGGGGCCGGGGCACCATTTGGGCAACGCCCTCAGCCCAGGGAGGGTGGGTGCTGGGGCCACGGCTCTCTCACCCTCTGCAGAGTTAGAAAGCCAGCCACCTCCTCCAGCCCAGCCCTGCACCACCCCCATCCCCTGCATGCCCATGGCCTTTCTGTGCCCCCCTGAACCCAGCTCGGGGCTGGGATGCCCTGCCTAATGAGGGGCTGAAGGAAGCCCACATGGCTCCAGGGTGCTGTGGGCGGGCTGGCAGGCAGGCCTGCTTAGCGCTACCACCCTGCAGAGGGCTCAGTCGCCTTCTCCAGGGCCGAGCATTTCATAAACAGGCCTTCTTGAGCTGCACGGTCGGGATAATTCGATCCATCTGGATCTTATTTATAGTTTCCATCCGCTCTTGTAGGATAATTAAAACCATGGAGGTAATCAGTGAGATTGTCCAGGACCTGAAGTATGATTCGGAAGAGGCTGAGTGATGTTTGGCCCCAAGGGAGATGGGAAACGCTAGAAGGAGAGGCGCCCCTCAGCCTCCTCTGGGGTCACCGGTCTCTGGGCTGGGGGATGGGAGGGCTTGCTGAGGGCCCTCACCCCCTCTGGATGTGGTCCTCCCCTGGGAGTGCCCCAGGACGTTGCCCTGCTGGCAGAGGAGGCCATCTCTTTTGGGCCCTTAGGGCAATGTCCCCATCGGGCCCCTACTGGTCCCATCTGTTTGCCACAATAAAATGTTCTCCTTTCTCCCCCTCTTCTCTTTCTTCCTCCTTGGGATTTGACTGCAAGTCTAGGTGGGGGTCTTCAGCTCACACATTGAGTGTAGTAGAGGGGAGAGAGAGCACGGATTTAGAACACAGATTCCACTTTGGAAGCTCTTGAGGCCAAGCCTCTCATCTCACAGTGGAGGAAAAGTGTAGGTCTCTAAGCAGGACAGTGACTGGCCTATGGTCACTGGGTGAGCATCAGGCTTGGGTTTGATGGCAGTCCTGGGGATAGGAGTTCTCACTCCATGAGCGGTAAGGCTCTAGGATGCCTCCCCTGGCGGCTGGGTGGGGCTGATCTCTCGGCTTTGCCGTGCTCCTGGCTCTCCTGTTCCTCCATGACCTGTTCCTGGTTCAGGCCCTCTCTAACCCTGGGAGAATCTGAGGTTCCCAGAGCCAGAAAGAATGGAGGAGTTCTTGTCCTCAGGTGCAGCCTGCCACTGTGTTTAGGTGACAGCTCCTTCTCAGTCACTTCAGCAAGTCCCCTTCAGGGAGCTTGCAACAGAGATGCTAACTCAGAGATTTTAGCATTCTGAGTTTCGTTTAGAGCAGCCCTGGCCCAGATGCCTTGTCTTCTCCCACCCCCCAACCCCCACACACCACTCACAAACAGCTTCACCAAAAATAAGTCGTTTATTTATAAGAATCTTTTGACAGGGAATTGGGCAGAAGCAGGAGGGGTTATGGGTACAGCAAGAGGCAGGGGCCTGGTCTCTTCCCCCACTCCCCCTCCCCCCAAAGCCTTGCCTTGTTCTATTCCTGCACTGGCCTTGTTCTTAAGGACAGCTCCTTGCCAGACAGCGGAGATGAGATGCCTGGTGGCTCCACAGAAGCCTGGGCTGCCCATTTTGGGAACAGGGGCCCAGGTGAAATAGGGATTGAGAGGCAGGGAGCAGGGGCTGTGGCTTAGGCGGGCATCTTCTATCCTGGATGAATCCATAGTTCCAGTGCTTGGGAGAACTTAGGGGGGCATCCCCAGGTTAGAGTAGAGGAGCCCCAGATATCCTCCCTCCATATTTCATAGACTCTTTGGAGGTGGCATTAGGGTGGGTAGGTGCCCTCCTGGCCCAGGACCTAGGATCACTACAGTTTATCTCCGGGTAGGACCTACAGGCAGAGAGGGAAAGAAGCTCTGGATGAGCACAGGGGGCAGGGTGCCCACCCTGATCTGTGGGCACCAGCCTCAGGGTCCATGGTGAGAGTCCTATTGATACCAGGACTTAGATGCAATAGGCAAAGTTGGGATTCATGGAGGAAGCACATGTTTACTGGAGGGTCACATTTTGGGGAAATGCGTGGATCCCATGCTCCTTTCTGCCCTCTCACCCATCTGGAGTCCTGCTTACCTCTCGCCGTGCTCCGTCTGCCCGAGGACAGGAGCCCCTCGTCCTGTGCTTAGAAAGAACATGAGTGATGTTTGAGAGGGTCTGTTCCAAGACCACCCTGCTCCCATGCCTAGGGTCCCAGAAATGACTGTCTTAAAGCAGGAGTGAGTGCTGGCCCTTGGCACAGAAACGGGTCCCTCGCCATAGCTGGCCCCAGGATTTAGCCTGTGACATCCTGGAGAGGAGCAGGAGTTCAAGACACCTGGGTGCTTGTCCTAGCATACCATGGATTCGCTGTGTGACCTTGGGCTGGTGATCACCAGTCTCTAGGCCTCTACCTCGGAAACAAGGGGGATGGTTTCGGTGATCTCCCAAGTCCCTTCCAAACTTCACTATTATATATCTTAAGATCTGAGATTGTTTCTATAGGCTTCATTCACCTAGGGGAGAGGTAGAGGACAGAGCTGCCCAGTAGGCAGGGTCCTGAGACAATACTCTAGGGAAAGGGACGGGCCCTGGGCACACCTACCTGGTTGCGGGTCTTGTGGGATTTCTGCATCCAGGCTCGCCACTGGTCATAGAGGCGGAAGCTAAGGTTGGGGCAGTAGGAATGTTTCTTCAGCCAGCCGAGGAACTGCTTCAGCTCCCGCCTCACTGGCATGGAGCTGGGCTCCCCTCCCCGAGGCTCGCAGGCCCCACTGGAGCCCTGCCGCTCTGGGAATGGGAGAGAAGGGATAGAGATATCACACCCATAGGGAGGGAAGAGGAACAGGTACCGCGCAGGGAGGGCCTAGGTTGGCTTCTGTCCTGGCCTGTGCGGTGTCTTGGGATCTGTACCATGAACTCGGGGCTCTGCTGGCTTCTGGGCTGTTCTAGGTCTAGGATGTGGTAGGCTCTGGGCTATCTTGGGTTCTGGACCAAAAACATGGGTTCTGTGCTAGGGGAGCACCCAGGCCCCAGGTGGAGCGTTGGCTGTAGGCTGTCACTGTCTGAGATCTAGACTCCAAGCTTTGGGCTTAAGACCAGGAAAAGGGAGAGGGAGAGACAGAACAGGATGAGATGAGGGAAAAAGAGGGAGAAAAAGATGAACTTTCTTGGGGGGGGCAGGGCGGGGTCAGAGAAGGTGGCAGACATCATGAGGTGAGATATGATGTAGCACTTTGCCCACCTCCAGATGAGAAGGGTGCCAGCATGCCTATGTACCCACTTGTGTGGGTGTCCACACATTTTTGTGCCTACCAACCTTGTGAATTTATGCCCTTCCCTCCCTATGCATGTGTGACCACATGTCCAGGCACAGAGATGTTGATCATCATGCTTCTGTATCCATGGACACACGTGTCCACATTTGTCTAAGCTCCTGTGTGCACATCACTCCCCAGAGGTGTGTGTGTGGGATGGGGGGGAGCCATGAGTGAATGAATGAGCACGACAGAATGAATCTCCCCCTCCCTCTCTTGTTCACTGGGGCTTGAGAAAAGCTGAAGGGATTTCTTTCTTAAGCTTTTCACAAAGAAAGAACAGAAGTCCCTGTTGAGCTGAGCCCAGGTGTGTGTGTGTGTGTGTGTGTGTGAGAGAGAGAGAGAGAGAGAGAGAGAGAGAGAGAAAGGCGGGGAGGGGAGAGAGAAAAGAGGAGGGGGAGAGACAGACAGACTGAGACAGAAAGAAGAGGAGAGAGAGAAACAGGCCTCAGAGGTGGAGTCTTAGGAGTCAGGAAAGGAGGGGAAGAGACTGATGGAGTCAGGCAGAAAAAGAGACTCAGGAATAGATCAATAGTGAGATTTGAAAAGAAGAAGTGGAAAGATGCTGGGACAGGGAGAGATATACAGGGAGAGGGGAATGGAAAAAACAGGAGGCATAGGAAAAGAAGAAAGGAGTGAGAAAGGAAAAGAGACAGGGGGATAGAAAGTAGGGGATAAGAGAGGACTAAAGTAAGACCACTGGGGAGGAGACCCCAAACAACATGCTGGTCGGCCCTGTGGCTTCATGGGTCTCTCCAGGGATCGAGAGAAGTGGGGAGCTATCTGGCCCTTTTCCTGCCCATGGTCTCAAAGTTACTCTCCAAACTCAGCTGGATCCCCTCCGAGCAGTGCCCCGCCCCCCAGCCCCCAGCACTGTCCATCCTCTGGTGAAGGCCCGGCACTTGGTTGGCAGGTGGTCTCCTCCCCCTGACCAGACTAGGCTGAGCCGGGCTGGGCTGCATGGGTTACTATGGTGGGAGCTAGGGCCAGGGACCAATCGGACGGATAAGGACATCAGCCTCACGTCATAAATAACAGGGGGGACCTGCTGACAAGTGCTGGCATTGCCTGCAGCAGGGAGGCCGAGGGAGGCCGAGGCCTTCCCTCCCCGGCGGGAAATCAGCCTCCAGCTGGCTCCTTTGCAAGAAACGCAGGTGCTGGGCACGCGGCGGGCCAAGGCTGTAGCCCCAGCCCCCAGGCCCCCTCCCCAGCACTCCCCACCCAGCCAGGGCCTTTCAGGAACAGAGTTAGAAGAATGGAGTTGCAGCCATGTGCATCCACCTCCCAGCCCCCCCACCCCAATTCCCTCCTGTTCCCCCTCCCAGGTGCTGAAGAAGGATAGAGCTGAGGCTCTTCTCTGGAAGTCTGTGTTCTATGAGTCCCCTTCCCCACTCCGACATTCTGGGTTCTAAGGGCCCCCTCCTCACTCTGACATTCTGGGTTCTAAGGACTCCCCCCTCCCCAGCTCTGACATTCTCTGTTCTGAAGGCCCACCTAGCTCTGACATTCTGGGTTCTAAGGGCCCTCCCAACTCTCACATTCTATGTTCTGAGGGTCCTGCTATCCTATGCTCTAAGGCCCCCCCCCCCAGCTCTAACATTCTGTATTTTGGGGGCCTTCCCATCTTAACATTCTGGGTTCTAAGGGCCCTTCCTAGAGCCTCCGCCATTCTCCATTTTCCTGACATTTTCTATGCTAAGTCCTAAGTCTCTTTCTAGCTCCAACATTTCAGGTTCTACGTTCTAAGCTCCTTCCAGCCCTCACATTTGATGTTCTAAGCCCTGTGCCTTTTAAAGCCTTCTAGCTCTGTCCTTCAGCTTGCTCTGCTCCGTGGGCGTGGTGTGCATGTGGAGTGGGTTTCCCTCACCACTTCTGGGGGTGGAGGCCGCCGTGGGGTGGCTCCACTCGCTCCATATTCCTGCTTTCTTAGACCCGTAGATGCCGAAGGGATTACAGCGCACCTGCACGAAGTAGACTGTGCCTGGCTTAAGGCCCGCCAGGCGGCATGAGGTCTGATTGCTCACATCGTCCACCACCTGCTCCGGGGGTGGGAGAAGAAGATGGTCAAGGAAGTGCCAGGCTCCTTGCCTGGATGAAAACAGGTCAGGGATCATCAGAGAACAGGGAGATGGATGGTGGGCAAAAGTTAAATGTCAAGATCCCCAGTCAAGGCAGTGGCCTTCTGGGGTAGAAAGCCCTGGACTTACTATGGGGCATTGTCTCTGGCTATCCTTGGAAGGTTCTGCCCCCCTGTCTGGGCCTCAGTTTCTCCATCTGGAAGATCCCCTGCCTCAACCCATCCTGCCCTCTCTTATTCCTCAGCTACGCTCTTCCATTGCCTTACTACATTTCTTCCTGCCCCCTTCATTGTGCCTTCTGGAATTCTTGTTTCTTAATTAATAAGATGTTCTCCATTTCAGACTGTTGTCTCTCCTACCCCATCCATTTTCTGGCTTCTGAAGACAGTGCATCCTCAGCCACCCTTTCTAGCACTTGCATTTTATCTCTTACCCTACCCTTCCTGCCTCCCCCCCTACACACACACACACACACACACACACACAGGTCCTGGGGAAGGAGTTAGCATCCTTTTTTTTGTTTCTTTGCTCCTCATTGTCACTTTCTATCTCTTTGCCTCAATCCCTCAGCACAATTCTCCTTCTTTGAGATTCACTCTAATTAAGATTTCCCACCCAATAGAGGTTCCAAAGGCATTATCTACCAGCCCCAGGTCATTCTCTCTCTTTTCTCAAGTACTTCAGCACTTCTCCTCCAGCTCCCTGCTTTTATACTAAGGGCCTCCAACATCGTGAAGATGTCCCCTGAAACACTCTCAATTCGTCAGCCTCCTCAGGTCCCCTCACCTCCGCCTCCACCCAAACTTGGCTTATACCCAGGAATGCTTATACACTGTATAGCTTATACATTGTTGATCTTAACATTACTCACAAATGTCTTACCTTCAGGATCCAAAATGCCTTTATCAGATCACAAACTCCTATCATTGATAATCACTAGCATTTAGAGTGTTTTAAGGTTTACTAAGCACTTTGCCTATGTTATCTCATTGGATATGTACAACCCTATGAGGTATATGCTATTATCTCCAATTTACAGATGAGGAAACTGAGGCTGAGAGAGGGGCTGTTTATAATATAATTATAATAATAATAATAACTAATATTTATACAGTGCTTACTATGTGCCAGGCACTGTGCTGGTGCTTTGCAATTATTATCTCATTTCATCATCATAACAACAATAATCATAGCTGACATTTGTATAACACTTAATATATGCCAGTCACTGTGCTATGTGCTTCATAAGTATTACCTTAATTTGATCCTCACCACAACCCTAGGAGATAGGTGCTATTATTATCTCCATTTTACATATGGGGAAACTGAGGCAAAGAGAGGTTAAGTGGTATGCCCAGGGTCATGCAGCTAGCAGATGACTCAGGCAGGATTTGGACCCAGGCTTTCCTGGCTCCACACCCAACGTTCTGAACACTGTTGCCTCACTGCTTTATTTCATCTCTCTGGGCCATCTTTATCCTCCTCACAATCTCTCCACCTTTCTGGGCCATCGCTTCTGCTTTTGCTTCACCTCCCCTCCTCCCATTCATGTCCCCACAGATCAATGCCATTCTGTCCTCTCCTCTCAACTCCTTCCTCCCCTTGTCCTCTCAATCCTCATGCCTTGCCAAATCCCCACCATTAGATTGCAGTCACTCTCTGTCTTCTTCACTACCACTCACATGCGGCTGGATGGAAATGGATAAATCTCAGCAACTCATCTCAACTGAGCCATCATGGCAGAAAGGCAACCCTTTTACTCCTCCCTAAAGGATTCTTCATCCCCAGTGAGCATGAAGGATGTCCCAAGCCTTCTCTTCTCTCAAGCCTCCCACACCATCCACTCCTCCACCTTCTCAGCTGAGAGCCTAGCATCATAAGTCACAGAGAAAACAGACCACACGCCTGTCACCTCCTCTTTTGTCCTTGTCTACATTGCAAAATGCCTTGATGTAATCCCCTCTCCTCTTCTCCCTTACTTCCCTCTCAGAGTAAGAGATGACCGAGAGAAGACCCTTCTAACTATAATGTGGATCCCACTGTACACCCTCCCCCCATGACGCTGTCCTGGGTCGTCGTCTTTACTCTATCATCAGCTCCTACGGATTCAGTGATCACTTCCACATAGCTAACTCCTAGATCTACATAGCTAGTCTTTCCTGAACTCCACTGACCATTTTGCTTTTTTTTTTCTTTCTTTTTTAAGGCAGTTGGGGTTAAGTGACTTGCCCAGGGTCACACAGCTAGTAAGTGTCAAGTGTTTGGTCTGAAACCGGATTTGAACTCAGGTACTCCTGACTTCAGGGCTGGTGCTCTATCCACTGTGCCACCTAGCTGCCCCTCCCATTGACCATTTTGAACTGAATGTCCTATCAGCATTTCAAACACCACCTGTCCCAAACAGATCTCATTACCTCTCTCCTTCAACTCACCTGTCTTCAGAACCTCCCTATCTCTGTTCATTTTTCCAGTCACCCAAGGCCACAACCTTCACGTCATCCTCCGTTCCTCACTCAGCTTCATCAATTGCCAAGTCTCTTCATTTTGACCTCCAAAACATCATTTGCATCTGTCCCCTTCTCACTACTTACACGGCACCCACCCTGGTTCAAGCCTTGAATTACCTTTTATCAGAGCTGTTGCACCTCCCTGTTTCAAGTGTCCCCACATTCCAACCATCTTTCATACAGCTATCCAAGTCACCTTCCTACAGCACAGATCTGACCATGCCATTCCCCTATTCAATAAACTCCAATGCTTATCTTCCCATCTCTTCATTCTTTGCCCATACCCCTGGACCCATCATCTATCAACTTCTAGCTCACCCCTCTGTCTATCGACATGCTTCCTCACCTGGTCACCCCTGATTTCCAATAGGATCAGTTATGAACTCCTCTGTTTGGCTTTGAAAGCCCTTCACAGCTTGGCCCCAACCTGCCTTTCTAACCTTGTATATTTTTAAACCTCTTCCTACCCTACAATGTTCAGTCATACTGGCCTCACACGTGACCCTCCATTTCCCACATCCATGCACTGGCATTGGCTGTACCTCATGCCTGGACTCTCATCTTGCCTCTGTCTCTCAGAATCCCTTGTTACCCTTCAAAATTCAGCTCGGCACCCCCGTTTACAGGAAGCCTTTTCTCATCCTTCAGCTGCTATTGCTTCCCTCTACTATCTTGTGTCTACTTTGCATGGATTTAAATATATTTATTTTGTCTCTGCCTCCCCTTCCTTGACCATAGAATATAAATGTTTTGCGGCAAAACAGTTTCATTTATGTCTTTTATCCCTAGCACCCAACCCAGTCCCAGACATTGAGTAAGTACTTAATAAATGTTTATTTATTGAACTAAGTGTTCAATTAATTGAACTAGACAGTCTCTTTACAGCATTTTATAGCTGTAATATTCCATTTATGAAGTCCCTTCAACTTCCATATTCATAGATAAGGAGGCATTTATTAAGTGTTCATTATGTGACAGGCACTGTTCTAGGTGCTGGAGAATCAGAGATGAAGATGAAATGGTCCCTGTTCTCATTCTATTTTCTAAGGTTTCTTCAAGTTCTGCAATTTTCTATGTTCTGAATTTCTCTGGGACTCAGTTTCCTCAGCTGTAAAATGAGGAAGTTGAATTAGTCTCTAAAGTTCCAATTAGCTCTAATCCTGTGTTTTTTCAAGAGATTTCTTCCAGTTCTGATATTTTGCTTTCTATGAAAGAAGAGAAGGAAAGAGAGACAGAGACATAGAGACAGACAGACAGATACGAGAGAGAGAGAGAGAGAGAGAGAGAGAGAGAGAGAGAGAGAGAGAGAGAGAGAGAGAGAGAGAGAAAGGCAGAGAGAGTGGCAGAGAGACAGAAAAAGAGACACAGAGACAGAGGCAGAAAGAGACAGAAGAAAAACAGAGACACATGAAAGGCAGAGACAGACAGAGAGGCACAGAGAGACAGAGACAGAAAGACAGACAGTGGCGGAGAGACAGAAACAGACACAGAGACAGAGGAAGAAAAGAGATAGATGAAAGAAAGATACATTCAGAGAGGAGAGATAGACATAGGAGAGATAGAGAAGGTAACAAAGATGAGAAGGAAGGGGAGGAAGGGAGAGAGAGAGAGGGAGAAGGAAAGGAGAGAGACAGGGAGAGGGAAAGGGAGAGAGTGTGAGGGAGAAAGAAGTAGTGAGATTGGTGTTCCTGTAGGAAGTAGGGGGAAAGATAATCAGACCCCAGAGGGATGGGGATGAAGGTGAGAGGGGAAAGGTTATCTTACCTTCCATTCCACGCTGTCCTCTACTCGGTAGCGGATCTGATACTTAGCTTGGAAAAGGAAGTCTTTGAGCGCTGGTGGGGAGTTCCAGTGGACACTCAATTGGTCCTCCAACCCCCCCACTCGGCTCACGTGGACATCTGGTGGGGGGTCTGTTGTTACTGGTGAGGAATTGGGTGAATTAATCCCTTTCAGGCTGGGTCTCTTCCCGCTAGCCACACCCTGACCAGTTGAACACTGAACTGAGACCAAAGCATGGGGAGAAGAACTTAGTCTGGGACCCTCGGTATTACTTGGGGGGTACCCAAATGGGTGTCAACAAAGATAGCAAAAGGGGAGTTATAGGCTATTCCTGCCCCACAGTGGACTGGGGTGACTCCTGGGAGTTTGGATGGAAGCGGGACCTTGGGACTTGAAAGCTTCTTGGCCCCACATTGGGAACTGGCATAATCACAGCCTTGATTCCTACAAGTTTACAAAGCACTTTCTTCACCATAATTCTTTGAAGGATACAGCAGAGGTATAAACTGCCTCTATTTTCAGATAAGGAAACCATCTCCGAGTGGCTGGGTCACACAACAAGGAACTTGCAAGGTGGAGGAGGTGTGATGCCAGGGCTCTTTGCACCAGGAGGAGTGATCGATCCCTCCACCCCTTTTTTTTCCTTTCCCCCTTTGACAGTCACATCTTTCAGGAGCTCTGGGCTGAGGCCAGCATTGCCCCCTTGTGTGTGTTGGGGGGAGCCCCAGCACTGAAAGGGTTAAGGACTGGGGGCTGCCTGGGGGAAAGGGAGGCTGAGAAACATCCTAATTAGATTAGGACCAATTCTGCTCACAGATCATCTATTTCCTGCCTTCCGGTCCTCCCCCCCCCCCTGCCCTCAGACCAGGTCCGGCTGCTTCCCAGGGAGGGAGCCAGGGTTGGGTCTCCTCAGCCCCTCCCTGACCTGAAGGCTTCTGTTCTCATTCCCCTCCCCACTCCCAAAGGGCCCCCCACACCTGGCCCAGGCTGAGGAGGAGGGGCCCAGAGACCAAACCCAATCCCAGCCCCAGCCATAGCCCCATCCCATCAGGGAGGGAGGGGGGAGGGGAGGGCAGGGACCTGGGGCTTCAGAGGAAGGAGTTGGGCCCCACCCCGAGGGCAAACCAGAGCCAGGTGTTTTCCGTGGGGTGTCCAGGGCCCCAGGACAGGGATCTAGGCTAGGATGCCCCGCCCCACCCCCCCTCCAGCCAAGCAAGAACTTAGCCTCCCAGGGAGGGAGGAAAGAAAGGCAGAGAGCAGTGGAGATGGAGAAAGGCTAAGGGACTAGGGGAGTATGCAGACAGATGGATGGGGACCAGGGAGAGCAGTAGAGTGGGGTGGATGGGTTCTGGGAATCAGAGTGATTCAGGTGGGGGACCGAGCCAATGGAAGAACACAGGAGTGAGCCGTGAGCTGACAGATGGGGGACAGGTCCCGAGATTCGGCCAGAGTATGAAGAGAGGAGCAGACAAACAGCCAGGCCAAAGGGGCAGATAAATGTTCTGATGGGCCCGTGGAGCAGACGGTCAGAGAGACCGGCTCCAGTTACAGCCTTCCTCAGGCAACAGGTCCCACTTCATCTTGGTCCTCGACCTCCATCCTCAGAGGGCTCGAATCCTGTTGGGAAAGTCCTCTCGAGGTGAGGAGAGGGAATGAAGAGACAGGGGACTGGGAGGGGGCTGGGGCCTAGCGAAAGCCTCACCCACATCGAGGATGTCCAAGGTGACCACCTCCGACCTGGCCGAGCCCAGGCGGTTAGTGGCTTCCACCCAGATCTCATAGGGCGTGAATAGTGCCAGGTCCTTGGGAATGTGGCAGGAATAGGGCCCCACGGTGTGGTATTCTTGGCATGTGTTATCCTGCCCGTACCACCTGGTTTAGGGAGACAAACGACACCCCCCTACACACACACCCTGGAGCCCAGGCTGTCCTTACCACCTTTGGTATCCCCTCACCTTCCTCTCTTCCCATTGCCAGGAAATCCCTTCCCGGGGCCCCTTCCTATGTTCCCCTCCTCCAGGGGTTTGCCTCCCATCTCTGCTAGACTTGCTCATTCCTCCTGGATGGCCCCTTTCTATGTGCCCCTCCTCAGGCTCATGGGAATCCCAGATATCTCCCACCCTGAGCTGGCTTACCCTCCCTGTGGGATCCCGCAGTTGCAATGGCTGAGCCCTCCTTCCGCAGGCTCCATGCATCTTCCTCACTCTCCAGCCTGGTCCCTCTGTCCCTGCCCCTTAGAGCTGGTGGAGTGCCAATCTGACTTCTTACACATACTTACCGAAGCTTGTATTTAAGGGTATAGTTGGTATGGAGAAAGGTCTCCCCCTGGGTGCCTGGGAACCAGCGGCAGGTTAGATCCTTCATGTTCTTAGACCAACAGCTGATGTTAACAGGCTTCTCAGGGGGCACTGGGGGTGGGGTGGGGAGATGAAGGTAAGCAAGGTGGAGAGGAACCTTCCCAGAGCTCAGGCCCCCAATCCCATCTCAGCCTGGCCCCCTGCTAGGAATGGAGGGCTAGAGGAGGGGCCAGGGGCTTGGGCAAAACCGGAACGGGGCTCCCCAAGGAGCTGGGCCTGAGACTGGGGGAGCTGACGCCTCCTGATTTATTCATCCTTTATTTCAAGGAAACGTGTTTGCAGCCGTGGACCCTGCCTAGGATACGGTTACGGAGTGTCAGGGTCTGTGCTGGGGTCCTGGAGCGCTTGCTCCCTGGGAGGGGAGAGGAAGAGGCCAGTGTCCGTTCCTGCCCAAATCCCCCTGTTTCCCTGAAAGACCTTGGGACATGGCAAATATAAACCAGTCCAAGTTCTTTCTGAATTCGGATGAGGGCTGGCAGGAACTGGGGGCTGCCCTCTTGTTACCAAGGAGTCTAATCCAGGGCTCTGGGCTGTGCGACCTGAAGGCCAGTCTGAGGCTCTGGGCCTGAGCAGAGGCAGACTGAACAGGAGGAGGACTGAGGGCCGGGATCCTATTATCTGTCCGTACTCTCAGCCTCACTCTCAGCTGGCCCTTCACCAGGGGCCAGCATCCTCCCTCCTTCCAGACCTAGTTCCTATTCCTTAAGGGTTCAGAGGGTACATAAAGCCCTGTCTTGCTCACAGCAAGGTACTGAGATATGGATCTCCTTTGGACAGAGGCGTTTGTGCTTAGGGTAAAAGCAGAGGAAGAGCAAGCAGTCTGGTGTTTAACAGCAGCTCAGATTCCTTCTTGTGGGAGGATGCAGAAGAAATATGTCATTCTTGTTGCCTGACCCTTGGGTTCCCTGTGACCTCAGAATGACCAGAGCAGGCCTGAGCTACCCCTTCCCCCTTAACAGAGACTCAGAGGCCTCCAGGTATGGGGTGTTTGGGGTGAGATGGCTCCAAGAGTCCTTTCAAACCACCTCAGGGACAGGGCATCTGAGGTCCCCTGAGCCCCATGGGGTCAGATGGGAGATAGAGATTAGTGGGGGTGCTAAGGGGCATTCCTGATGGTTGGGAGCAGGGAGGCAAGAGGCAGAGATGGAGCACATACAGCCAACATAGAGGCAGGAGCCAGCGAGGATGCTCCCATCCCGGGCGTGGCACACTAGGTTGTCCCCCGACTGCTGCTTGGAGCCGTTGAGGTTGGCCAGTGCCAAGCCCAGGGTGGTGGCGTTGAGGACCTGGGAGAGCTCGGGGGCCAGCCGCCGGCCGTTGAGGGTCCAGTAGAGCCCTTCAGCCGTGGGTGTATCACCGCCGCTCACGCTCACTGAACAGGTAGCGTGGAGGGAGGAGCCGATGAGCAGCGTCGGGTCCTGGGGGGCGATCACAGCCAGGTCTGGGGTCAGAGAAACAACACCCCATCAGCCTCAGGGGCCTGGGCACCTGCTTCGAGGAGTGCAGGGATTCAGGGATGGGGCAGAGGGCTCAGCCCAAGGCCTCTGAGGGCCTCCTCAGTCCAAAGATGGCTTAGGCTTTAAGGGAAGATGCTTGGTGTGACACAAAGAACTTTGGGATGGAGGTCAGTACACTTGTGTAGCAGTTCCAGCTCTGCCAGTTTCCTGTGTTTTCCTGAGTAAGTCATGTCTTCTCTGTGGGCCTCAGTTTCCTTACTTGTAAAATTGGATTAGATAATCTTTAAGGCCCTCTCCAGCTCAAAATTCTTTGATGCTGTGGGTTCATATCCTGGAGGCTGTGCCATTAACTTCCTATGTGACCTTGAATAAGTCATTTCTCTCTCGGGCTTACTTTAGTTGATCTCTAACAGGTTCACCATTCTATGACCAGGTCATCTCAGTCTCCACTTGGGATGATAACCTGAATGAGGGACTGGAGCAAAATTTACCAGCACCGTGGGATGCCCATGGTCCACACTACTCCACCAGCTCCTCCTTTATCCACTAGCAGACCCTAACAGCTCAGCCTTGGTCATGAATTTTTCAGGTGGCTGGACGGTCTTGCCTTGTCCACTCCCCCTCCATGTAAGCATGTCCTCCCACGTGGCTGATTACCTCCCATCTCCACAAGAAGGAGGAAACAAAACTGATCTCCTGATGGGGTAAGACAGGTTCAGTGAATTGAACCAATCTCTGAAACCCAAGTCAAATGCCATCTTCTCCTTACGAAGCCTTCCCTTATTGCCCTGCTCTGACCTCCCCCTCCTCAGTTCTCATGTAACATTGGATTTATTTTGTACCTTTCTGATGATCTTATATTGGGTATAACAGTCACCTGTGTGGCTTCCATCCAGCCTACTAGATTGAGGGCTTCATGAGGACAGCCAGAGAGCCTGTCTTGGCTATACTTTGCCTCTTTCCTCTGTCTTCCCTAGGCACCAGTTTTGGACTCTACACGCAGTAAGCACTTACTGAATGTCTACTGTTCATTCTCATGGTGGTGGGGGAGATCCTGTCCTCTTCACTATCCTCCCTCAGCTTGGGAAGGGGGTGGATTGGGGACGAGCCAGCTGATGCGGCTGCCTCCTCCTTCCAATCCTCTGGCCGAAAACATCTGAGATGGCTGGGATTTCTATGGGCAGATTTGGCAGTGGGCTTTGTCTACTTGGAGCGTGAGATATAAATTGAATTTGGGGCTCTGTCCAGGGAGTGCCTGAAGTCTGAGCCATCCCTGTGAGTGGTGTGCCGGACGGATGTGCTGGCGGCTGGAGTAGAGGAGGGGCAGCAGAAGGGAGGAGGGCAGCATCCCCTGTCCCCTGAGGGGCTTCACTTCCTGGGTCCTGGGCAGCCTCCCTCCTTGGGCCCAGGAGGCCCTGATGAGTTCCCAGTCACAAGCTTTGCAGCCCTGTGACCATGGGGAGCTTGCACAGGAGGTTTCTGACAGAGCAACAGAAAAACATGTTGGGAAGCCGTGTGCAGCCAAGCCCGCCCCAGTAATCTGGTTTGGAGGTCACAGTGAGAGAAGCGTTACCAAGAGAGCCGGCCTCCTCGCTAATTCGGAATTCCTTCAGCATGAAACTCTGACGCGGAAGCCCCCGCGCCCTCCCGCCTGCCGGCGCCTCTGCCCAGCCCACCCACCGCTTCCTGCCTCCCGGGCAGGGGCGGGGGCACCTCAAGGGGGATGGCCTGGGGACCCCTCTTGCCCTGGCCCACTCAGGGTCAAGGGCACCGAGGGAGCATCCCTGTGCAGAAGGGAGGCCTTCTGGAGGCAGACTAGAAGGGGCTCTCTGGGGGATCCAGACCCTCTTGGTGGGAGGTGTATGTGTGTATGGGGGGGGTGTCTCTGGCCCTATTTGTGCCAAAGCCCTCCCTAACTCTAGTCCTGCCCACTCCCCAGCACCGCTTTGGCTCCTCTTCTCCTCTGTCTTATCCCAACTCCAATGTGGCGCCTCTCCCAGATGCCACAGCTGCCGTCGGGGGTCTTGGCCTCCCCTTGTGGATCTGTGGGCACCAGTGGGCAGTGCCAGCCAGCAGCCTGCTGAGGAAGGGGGGTGTCTCTTGTTTTCCTTCAGCTGGCGGGAGGAAGGAGGGTTTCAGGCCCTGTGCTTCCTGGGCCCTCCCTAAGTCCCACACCCCCTTCCGGCACTGGCTTGGGGGTCCCTCAGAAGGGGAGCGGCCAGGCTGGCCTGTGGCCTGCTGCTGGAAGGAGGGGGGAGAAGAGAGTAGGGAGAGAGCAGCCCCCAGAAAGAACAAACGGAAGATCGAGCATAAACAATGCATAAAAACTATATTTCCCGACGTGGAAAGGAGGCGGCTGAGACATTCCACGAGGCTGGGTGGCCGAGAGCCCGGGGGTGGGGTGGGGAACCACAAATTTATAGAGCCCACGGCACTGCCTGCCCGACCTGGCTGAACCCAAGGCAGCCAGAAGTCGGACCAATGACTCCTTCGGCCTCCCTCTGCCCCGTTCTGGCCCAGGGGCTGAAGCAACCCCCCTTCTCTTGGCAGGGAGCTCCCCTCCTCTCGGGCTTGGGCTCCTCTCTCTCCATCTCCCCCCTCCTCCACCCGCCCCAGCCTTCCACCCAGAGTGATGGGAGCTGAGCTGAGCAAGCGAGGGAGCAAGGGAGCCGTGCAGACTGCTGGCTCCCGGGGCCAGCGACTTTAACAATGTTTTTCCGATCCACAGCCTGGCCCGTTATTAAAAAGGAAGAACATGTGTTTTAAAAGGGAAAAGTGTGAAGTTTTCAGATTGGAGCGGAAGGGGCCAGGGAGGCGGGTGGAGGGGGGCTGGCGAGGCCCAGGACAGACAGGGCAAGCCCAGAATTTGGGTCCATACCTGCTGGACACTTTACGACTAGACTATAAAACCAGATTGCTGATCAGGTGCTAAGTCACATCATAAAGTCGAAACACATTGTAGAGGTGTGAGGATCTTTTATTTAATTTTTTTCTTAAAGAAAAAAACACAACAACCCCCTCTGCACAGACACACAGTCCCCCTTCTCCTCCTCCCTCTGGTGCTCCACAGAGAAAGGGGAACAAAGGTAGGCTGAACTGTCCCTGGGATTATGGGGGTTCTCTGGAGGCCCCAACCCTAGCCATGCTGTCCCCGCCTGCACCGTTTACTTCTTCTCTGACACTTACCGGAGTCAGGCCACCCCAACCTCTCCCTTCATCCCCCAGATTTTCTCTACTCCCAGCTTCCCACTGAGACCTGGTCCAGTGTAGACCAGTGGCATAGGGAGGGCACTGAGAACAAGCCAAGTCAAGGGTGGGGTATGAGCAGAAGGGTGAGGAAGGTTTTGAAGGGTGTGAATGTCTGATGCCTTTCAGGGTGCTAATGAGGACATGGGTTTGTGGTGATGGAGAGTGTGTGTAAGAATGTGCAATTTTTTTTCTTTTTGTGCCTGTATTTGTATGCCTATGTGTATGTCTGGGTTTGTGTGTCCAAGTTTGTGTGTTTATCTGAACATCTGAATCTGAATGGGATTTTCTGGGAGTGTGTGTATAAGTTTATGTTGGCTCAAGAGTGTGTATGAGCCGAATACAGTTTGTGTTTGAATGTGATTAGGTGACTGTGTGTGACTGAGGGTGAGTCTGTGTGTGACAGTGTGTTTGTGTGAGTGTAGATGAGTGTTTGTATATATGTTCATTTGTGAATCTGGACAGAGATGCCTTTGCTGAGGTTTGACTGAGCCGGGTCTAAGTGTGGTATGTACCCACCCAGCCCCAGACTCAGTCTCACAGGTTCAACACGGGCAAATGCCTCGATCTTAGAGCTGCCCCAGCCCCAAGAAAGGAGGAGGGTGGCTAATGCTGGTTCAGGACTATACCATCTGGGCAGTAAAACTGCCGGGGTTGGAATAGGGGCAGAGAGGAGGAATGGGGTAAGCAGCCCCATTCTCGAGAGGCTCATCTCCAGGGACCCTGGGCCGGGAGCCAGGCGGAGCAGGAGTTGGAGCCCGGAGAAGGCCCCCAGCACCGTCCCATCTTGCCCCTCCTCTAGCTCATCCCATCAGCCCGGGAGGGGGCAGACCAGGCTGAGCATCACTCTAACCCCCCCACCCCCCTTTCCAGGCTCTCGGTCCATGGCGCGGTTCACTTCTGGGTCCCCCTTCCCCCACCCTTCCACTCCCTGCTTCTAGATCGGGAGACACAGGGCTCAATCCGATCCTTCGCGTATGGGTGTCGGAGAGTCGGGGAGACTAAGGTGCGGGTGTACTCTGAGCCCAGGACAGGAGAGGCAATGAGGCGGGGCGGTGTAGGGTCTGGCCCGGCTCCGGGGGACCAAGGCCGGAACGCGACCCTAGGCTACAAAGAGGGGTGATGCGATGTGTTCCCCTACCCCTTACTCCCGCAGCGAGCAGCAGAGGGAGCCCCGGAAGGCTCCAAGGCTGCCCCTGAGCTGAAAAGAGGGGGGGAATTCGCAAGGGGGGGGGACTGCCCAGGGAAGAGGCCCGCTTCTCGAGAACCGAGGTGACTCGCTCGCTCAGCTAAGCCAGGCCAGGTGAAGTCCCAGGGACCCGAGGTGCTGCCCCGCTCCTATTCAGGACCCCTAGCCCCGCCCGGCCCGTGCTCCCCCAGTCTAGCGCGCCTCGCAGGTGGTGCGGACCCGCTGGGGTAGGAAGAATGCCGGGGGACAGGGTCTTATCTAGTGCGCCTAGGCCCAGGGCCGTGCCCTGCCGGTACCCGGCTAAGCGCAACCTCCCACCCTAACCAGAAGACGACCCCCTGAGCCCGCCCGAGGAGCGCTGCGCTACGGGCCTGCCCATCCCGCCTCACCCCGGGCTGGCGCCTCCTCCTCCTCCCCCCCCCGCCCCAGGGCCCAGCGGGGGCTCCCTGGGGCCCCATCCTTTGTTCCCGGGCCAGCCAGGTGCTGCAGGCCGGGAGGGGGACCGAGGGGAGAGGGCTGGGCTCCAGCCTGGCCCGGAGCATCCCCCAGCGCCTCCTGGAGCTGGGGAGTGTGAGTGTGAGTGCTTGGGGTAGGGGACGGTTTGGGGTAGGTACTCACAGCTTCCAGATCCCGCTCGCAGCGCTCCGAAGGCAAGCAGCGCCAAGGCTAGCATGGTCCGCGCCGTGGGGAGGGCAGCGCCCAGCCTCAAGCCTCCGCCCGCAGCCCGCAGCATCCGGCGGCTCCGGAGCTCTGGGGAAAAGCAGGTCCACGGGGAGTCGGGAGCAAGGAGTCGGGGAGCGGGAGGCAACGAGTGGCCAGGGGAAAAGGAGACGGGCGCGCGGAGCCGCAACAAGTTTCGGAGAGTCAGGGGCAAGTCTGAGCAACCGAAATTGACAAGCTGCTAATGCGCCTCTGGCCCCGCCCTGCCCCGCCCCCGGGGGGGCCTGAAATTAACAAGCCCTCCACTGCTGGGACTCCAGACTCCTCTCACTGTCCCCCTCTCTCCACTGCCCCCTCCCGCTTTCCTCCTCCTTTCTCTCCTCCTCCCCTTCCTCAGCCTCCCCCTAACCCCCAGCCCAGCCTCCCCCTGCGCCCTCCCTTCCCCCAGCGCCTTGCTCTGATGGGGAGGGGTGTTCACTGGAAGGTGGGGTGGGGAGAAAAAGAGACAAAACTCAGGAGAAAAAGGGAGGGAGGGAGAAAAGTGCAAACCCACTTAGTGACATTAGCTGAGCGGCTCCTTCTCCAGTTACCTCAGCCCAAGCGGCCCCGACGTGACGCAGGCCCGGGACGAAAGACGGCTCTACTAAGAGGCTGTAAGGTCCAGCTGCCCCCGGGGAGGGGGCCCGAAACGTACACACTCCCATGCACACACACCTCCCTGGGCCTGCCCAAGGAGCGAGGTTGGGGGGGGGGTCCTGCAGGAAGGATGTCCTCTGGGCCAGGCTTCTCCCCTTTCCCTCAGTCCTCTCCCTCTCTGTGCTTGGGCTCTGGCTCTCCTCCCTCCCCACTCGGAAAAATCCACTCAGCAAGGTTCTTGAGGGCCGGGCCGGGTAAGGGCCAGGGCCGGGGGTGGCGCGCAGGTGAGTAATACTCAGGAGGTGCACCCACACCCTAACTGCAGGTAGCACCGACAGCCCAGAGCAACGTTTTTTTCCCTCTTAAAATTTTTTTAAAGTTTTCGTTTCTACTTTCTCCCCGCCCCCATCTCCGCCCGATTTTACCCTCAGCCTGAGGTCTCTTCCTCTGAGCCCGGGACCCCCATTCCCTTCTACTCTGTCACGCACACACCACACCCCAGCCTGTCCTCAGGCCCTTGGGACGCCGGCTCTGAAGCAAAATCCTCTGCAATAAACAAACATTAGGGGGGGAGGGGGATTTCCCGGCTGCTCCTCGCCTGTAGCTGGGTCCCGGCAGCCCTTTGATAACACTCCCTCCAGCTCTGTTCATAGCTCCAGGGAGCCGTGACCCCGAGGGGCGATGGGGGCACAGCTCCATCTGGGTTCTCCCCCTCAAGTTGCCCAGTTACTCCCATTCCGGGGTGTGTGTGTGTGTGTTGGGGGGAGGTTTGGCGCAAAGGCTGCCTGCCCACGCCTTCCCCTGGAATACACGCCCGTTGTATCCAGCCCGTTCCCCGGAAAGGTTCTCGACCCAGGCAGGCTAGCTTCCCTCCGTTTGACGTGGCTGCTCCCGGCCCCGGCCCCCCGGGCTGGGTCCTAGCCGGGCCCCGCCTGGAGCGCACCCCCAGCCAGCCGGGTGTGGAGGATGGGAGGGAGGGAGGAAGCGAGGGAGAGCAGGCCGACTCGTGAGTGCGCTCTTGGGGCACCTGCCCCCTGCTACAGCCCAGAGCCATAGGTCTTAGAACCTACTGGCCGCCCAGGGTGAGGATAGGGAGACGAGAAGAAGAGAGGTTTTATTTTGAGCCCCTCCCTCTCCTCAGCTCAAAGGGAGCTAAATGCAGCCAGGGACTCGGAGATTTGAATGCGATCAGTCACCCGCCAAGAGGCTGCATTGTACAGAAGTTCGAGACTTTATCCATTTCCCCAGCTCAGACCCTGCAGATTCCCCCTATTTCACTTCCAGCCTCGTGGATCAGGATTGGAGAACCATGGGCGCGTTAGTCCCGGCCGGTCAGCGGCGCTGACGTGAAGACTCGTGGGCACCTTGCCCTGCAGCCGTGTCTTGTGAAAGAGCCGGAAGATGGAGGCGGCCAGGGGTCCCATAGGAGGCGAGAGCGGGAGGCGGGGGGCGTAGAATAAGGAGACCAAGAAATCCGAGGGTTTAGGAGCGCTTCGGGGTTAGGAACCGCAGGCAGAGTTTGGGGGATAATACCCTGCCTATGCAATCATAAAGCTGGAAGAGACCTTGGAGATCACGTAGTCCAACTCCTTCATTTTACAGATAGGTAAACTGAGTTCCAGAGAAAGAAAGCGGCTTTCCAGCGGTCAAACGGTGAATCAAAGGCAGAGCCACGACTCAAATCGAGGTTTCCGTGAAGCCCACTGCCAGCACCATCCAGCGGTGACCACCAGCAAATTGGGGCGGACACAGCACCCTCTACTGGAATTAGGGAAACTCCCGGGTCCGGGATCATGCCTAAGAAAGGGAGAAGGGAAGGAGAAAAATGAGTCTCTCCCCCCTCCCCCCAGCTTGAAATCAAGTCAAACTGGAGCAAAGAGGAAAGATCATTCAATACAACAAACATTTATTAAGTGACCACTTTGTGCTGGTTCTGAAGATATAAAGACGAAAGCCCAAGAGATCCCTGGCGTTGAGGGACTTATATTCTACTGCGGAGAAACAGGAAAGGTGAAGGGGGGAGGGCACCAACAACTGGGGGGGGTAGCTGGGTCTCACCCAATAGGTGGTCACTGGAGTGATCCTGAAAGTCCTAGAGGAAGCACTTAATAAATGCTGGAGTTCATTATTTGACTTACTTTTCCTTCTCTGTATAAGGAAGAGGTTAAACTAAATGACTTTCAAGGTCTTCCCTGGTTCTGATTGATACTCTTTGTTCTAAGGTTCCCCTGAGCTCTGACCTTGCGTTCTAATGGCTCTCCAGCTCTGCTTATTCTAAGGCCTTCCCAGCATTGACCAAGGGCCCTCCAAGCTCTGACATTTTGTGTTCTAAGGCCCCTCTAGTTCTGACAGTCTATGTTCTAAAGTCCTTTGCAGGTCTGCCATTCATTGTTCTAAGGCCATAACATTCTGTTAAGACCCCTTCCAACTCTGACATTTTGTTCAGAGGACTCTTCCAGGTCTGACATTCCAAGTTCTAAGAACCTACCTGTGTTCAATATTTTATGTTTTAAAGGTCCTCACCACTCTGTTGAAAAGCAAATGTGTTAAGGAACATCCCATTCAACAACACCTACAATGTATAAATTGATTACACACTTACAATGTGGGTATAAAGAGGCTGGACTGATTGTTGGGTTCATAAGCCTCAGGCTTTATAGGATAATAGAACTGGCAGATACTTTAGGGGTCACCTAGGCCTGATCCCCTCATTTTATATAGATAGTTTCTTGAGAACAAGAATGATAAGTTTTCATTTCTTTCTTTGTATCCCCAGCTCACATAATTCTTGACACATAGTAGGTGCTTAACAAATGCTCATTGACTGATAAAGAAACTGAAGCTCAGGGAGGTTGGTGACTTGCCCAAGATAGAGTCCAAATTGGGAAGTCATCTATCTGAAAACCTAGTTTTTCTTCTACTATGCTAGCTATCTCCAAGTAGGAAATATTTCCCATATCAGTCTGGGCAACAACAGCTTTTCCTACCTCACTTTCACCTACTTCTCCTGCTGTGCCACACCCCTGCCCCTCAGGCAGAAGGCAACATTTAGGCACTCCAGGATCCTTCTATCTCTCTACTTGTCCTGGGGCCTGCCTGCCAAATACCAGCAAGGTTTCCCAAATACTTATCATCTTCCTGATGATGAGTTGGGTGACTCAGTGGATAGAGCCAAGAAAGACCTGAATTCAAATGTGGCCTCAGGTGCTTACTAGCTGTGTTACCCTGGGCAAGTCGATTAACCCTGTTTGCCTCAGTTTCCTTATGTGTAAAAAGAGCTGGAAAAGGAAATGGCAAACCACTCCACTATCTCTGCCAAGAAAACCCCAAATGGGGTCAGGAAAAGTTGGTTGGGAACCACTAGAACAGCAGTCCTCTCCCCTATGATTGAGCCTCATTCCGGTTAGGCAGCTGATTTTTACTCTTGGTCAATACAGGGTCTTGCAACTTTTCTTCACCAAAAGCGGGCTTGCCCCGACCTGCAGCAGCTATGATTTTTCGCTGTGCTTTGGGGTTTCCTCCTCTCGCCCCAGATTTCAAACTCCTCTGCCAGGTCTCCAGTGGCCCAGAAGAATAGTCTGGGACTGGAGGGGTTCAGTTTTCGACTTCTGGAGGCTGCTTTAACCCCCTCCCTTCACTGAACCCAGGGAGTAGGAGAAATTCCTCAAATATTGACCCAAGTCCTCGAAGTCTGGTTCCCAGTTAGGAGGAATTCGTCGCCCCCGCCTCCTACCCAGAGCCATTGCCCATTTCTCTCCAGCCCTGCCCCCAAAAGAGGTCATATCTGGCTCCAGACCCTGGTCCGAGGAGCCAGGATCCGGCGGGATTTCTGGAAAGGGCCAGGACGCGTAGATCCCTCTTCTCGGGTTCCTAGGCTTCTCTCCCCGTAGTTCAAACCAAAGCTTTCAGCTGAGCTAGTAAGGGAAAAACCCTAGGCCTGGGTCTGGTCAGGCATACCCGAGTAACCTTAAGCAAGTCTCCCCACCTCCCAAATCTCTTTATCCATAAAGGAGGTGGTTAGACCAAAAGGTCTCTGGCCAGGGTTTTCTTGTATTTCTGTGCCAGTGGAGGTCCAGCGCTCCCGGGCTGGGTAGGGGAGGGCCCACAGGGCACCAGCTTCATAGTCTCTCTTTGGGAAAGCCCTGACAGGCTTTGGGACCGGCAGATACCGCGGGGCCTTAAGCTCTCTGGAGTGGAGCTTCTTTCTATTATAGGATTAGGACAGAGATTAGGTTCTCCAGCGATTTAGGTTCTGCAGCGGTTCTTGCTGATTCAGAGAGCCAGCCAGGGGGCCGGGCGGTGGAGGCTGGTGCAAGCAGGAGGTCGGAGGAGCCCGGGGCGGGGGGGGGGTGAGGGGGGGGCTGTGTGTTGGGGACTACGTGCGTTTGGGAGGCGCAAAGCTGCTGGAGGCCTTGCACAGGGGGTAGAGGTTGAGTTCCTCCCCCCGCCCCATCTGGGGTCCCGGAGAGAAGAGGAGCTGGAGGTGGGCAGGTGAGGTCGAAGGGACTACTTCGGGCTGCCTCTGTTCCCTCCCCCCTGCCTCCACCCACTTTGAGTCCTGGGGTGGCTGGAGCTCCTCTCTGACCTCTCCACTCCCTTTCACTCCTTAAGCTGGCTGCCGGAGGCCTGGGCTGGGTGAGTGGCGCCGAGGTGGTGCAAGGCCCTGGGCTTCCACCCCCTACCCCCGGGGTGTCAGCACTCTGGCCTGGAGGAGAGGGGGTGAGGGAGGACAGACGCGGGCTCTGGACAAAGACTAGCTTGTCCAGATCCTGGAGCTTGTCCTTCCAAAGGGTGACATCAACTTTATGCTGTGGCCGTGGGGGAAGGGGAGGGAAAGAGACACCCAGTCTTTTCCCGGATGGCTTGACTGTGTCGCCCCGACGCGGCCCCAGGGAGTCGCCTGGACACGTGCAGCTTTGTTCACAGATCTTCTTCTGGAAGCACGACTCCGAGGTTACTGCTCTGTAAAGAGCCCAGTGGCCCGGGACCCAAAAGCATCCTTGGTTCTGGAGTTCCAGAGCCGTCGGGGAACGGTCTTTGCCCAGAAGTTGATAGGGTCTTCCATTCCTGAAGGACCTTGTGGCCCCCAACCCTGTTTTAGCTTAGAAACGTGCGAGGCGCCCCTGGGGGTAGGAAGTGGGGGGGGGAGGAGGGGAGGAGCAGAAGAAACTTTCCCTCTTAAGCCCCTGAGGAATGTCGGCGGATTTCCTGAAATCCGACCCCAGGGCAGCGCAGCGTTCCCCTGCCCCCCTCACCTGGACTAGCTCTCCGGGGTGTGGGGGGGAGGTGGGGAGCGGTGAATTGGGAAAGAGAGGCGGTTGCTGCCCAGAGGGGAGGCAGCTGCTACGGCTTCCTGGGGGGAAGGGAGAGCTCACCTGAGCCCAGGACCACGGAATTTAGGGTCCCTTCCTTTCGCTGCTTCCCACCCACTTTTAGATTCACATTAGGCCAATCCGTGAAACAGGGAAACTGAGGCAGGAAACAAGGGAACGCTTCTTCAATGCCTTCTCCAGGCGCTTGACTCCAATCACAGGAATTGGGAGCGAGTGCTTGGAAGAGAGCCTTCTTAGTTGCTCCACCGTCCCCGAGCTGATGTTGAGAAGAGAAAGGGGAGGCCGCGAACCCTGGGGAGGCCGATGACCATGCAGCTCCTGACTCCCGCTCCCCGCAGCTTTGGGGCGAGACAGGAGACCAAAGCCAGATGTGCGGGCTTGCAGGTTACATTCCAGCTGCGCCCGACACAGCCGCGGCTGATTAAGCCATCTGGGGACTGGGCGGGGGGAGATGAAAGGCGGGAGCTGGGCTGGGGGAGGGGGTAGTACACCCGGGCTCCCGCCAGGAGCCAGCCCCTTTCCTTTCCCCCAGCTCCTCTCTTTCCCTCCAGCCGGAGGCACCTTTGGCGGCCTCTGACCTAGGGCATCTCCCTCCGTGTCTGGAGTCAAAAGTTTCCGCCGAGAGATCAAGGGGCGGCACCTGCGCACGTGGCGGGCTGCAGAGCCTCTTTGGCGTCTGGGGCCAGCCTTGAAAAAAAGGTCTGGGAGGCTCCAGCTCTGCACAGAACTGGGACCACCTTGCCCAATTCTGGGGCTCCCACGGCAGGCCTTACACCGTCCGGGGGCTTCCCTTTCCCAAGGGAGGGAAGGCCAGGTTTTCCGCCACCCTAGAAGCAAAGAGAGTGAAGGGAGCTCTCTTTGGAAAGGGTTCCTCAGTGCTAGGGATAGGGAAAACCGTAAGCTTCCTAGCGTCTAGGGCCAGTTCAGGACAAATTGCGAGGTACATAATACTCCTGTCGGGTATGGTGCCCTTCACTCCTATCTCTCCCTGCTTTTTAATCTATCATATTACCCCGCCGATCCATCCGACTCAAGGGTCCAAGGAAGAGCCGAGAGACGACCTCCGGCCCTGCTCCCCTCCCTTTTCTCCTAGAGTCTCGCAGCAATTCTGGAGGCAGCGATGGAAACCCCCGGCTTCACGTGGAGGAGCTAGGCAGCGACCAGTGGACCGAAGGGAGGATAAATGGCATGTCCCGGCCCAAGAGGGTCTCCTAGCTCCTTTCTAGCCTCCTCGTTTTCTCCAAATTCTTTGCCTCCTGGTTCCTGGTCTCCATCTCTCCCCCCCCCCACTGTCTCCCAAGCTCCCTTGCTCAGGGACGATGACGTCACACCCCAGCCCCCCGCGCGCCCCTCACTGAGCTGCTGGTTCTGTCTCTGGCCAGACCCCACGGGCCCCCGGACCCCAATCCCCGCGCTCGCCATGGCTGGCGCCGAGGTCCTGATGCTACTCCTGCTGCTGTACCCTGGGCTGCTGCCGCTTGCCACGGCCGCCCGTGGGGACCCGTTCGCCCAGCAGCTGGGCCCCACCAGCTCGTGCCAGATGCAGTGCAGTCTCTGGATTCCTCACGCGGGGGGCGGCGGTGCAGGTGAGAGGTGCGGGTGTGGGTAAGGGCAGGGGGCCTCTGACCGCCTGGCGAATTTAAGGCCCTGGCCGGCCGGGGCTAGAGCGCGTCCCATTTTCCACCAGCTGCGTGTTTGCGGTGGGAGGTCAGGCCCCAGGGCGGGGCAGAGCTGGGGGCCCAGCGCTTGTCGGGGGCCCATCCGTGCCCCTGCGGTCATGGCGGGCCTGGGCGCCCCTTTCACCCTTCTTGTTGCCCAAAGGAGGAGCTGCAGAACGCCTGCGCCCGGGGCTGCCGCCTCTTCGCCATCTGCCGCTTTGTGACGGCCAGCACCGAGGCCAACGTCACTCTGGCCGAGTGCAAAGCAGGTGATGAGGAGTGGGGGGTGGGATACCCGGAGCAGAGAAGTAAGGAGTGGAAGAACCCTTCTGGTCAGAATGCGATGGGGAGTAGGGATGGGGGGAGGCCACTACCTGTGGGATGGTCGCTACCTAGTGTGACCTCGTACAACTCACTTGCTTTCTAGAGGCCTCAGTTCTGGAAACAAAAGAGGGATTTTTAGAATAGAGGATCTTTCAGCTCTAAATCTTCTAAGTGAGCCACAGGCTGGGGAGGGACACTGGCCCTTCCTTAGGCTGGGAGCAGCATGCAGACTGGGCAGACATTGAGAATTCTCCCCCGTTCCCTCCCAAAGCCTGTCTGCAGGCCTATGACCAGGCTCGAGAACAGCTGGCGTGCACTGAAGGATGCTTGAGGCAGATGCCTGGTTCGCAGAGACCTTCATTTCCACCTCTACCTTCACCTTCTTCACCTCCACCTGAGCACCATAAGGTGTGAAGACAGGTTCCTGGGAAATTGGCTTCATTTCTGCTGCAGGGTACAGGGGAAGGGGGCCCAGAGAGGCAGCTGGAAGACCTGGTTTTAAGTCCAGATTCTGCTAATAAATGACTTGGTGACCATGGTCAAGCCACTTCCTACCCTAGTTGTCAGTTTTCCCGTCTGTAAAATGAAGGGGTTGAAGCCAGTAGGTCTTGCATTTCTGACATTGTAGTTTGATGTCTCACTTCAGTTCTCACAGTCAGCCAGGCACCAGGTTCTCTCATGAATTTTTGGGGCAGCATTTCTCCCATGTATTCCCCCATTTATCCTCCCATGATTCCTACCTTAGTCTAGACCTCTGAATCTCTGGCCTGCTCTATTGCAGCAAGCTTCTACTTGACTTCTCTGCCTCCAACCCAACCAGACAGGCTGCTACAATCATTTTTACCAATCCCAGGCTTTGATAACATCTCTGTCCTGCTCAAACACTCTCTGTGGCTCCCCCTGGACTTCAGGAGAGGGTTTATGGTCCCTAGTTTGGTAGTTTGGTCCAATCTTCCTCTCTTGTTTATCCTCTCCCAGCTCCTTGTATATGTCTAGTATTCCAGCCTATCTGGGCTCTTTACTGGCCTCCATACCTAGCCACTGGAAAATATTTTCTCTCTTTTCTCTGCCTCTTCTATATATATCCTACCCATCCTTAAGGTCCAGCTCAGGTCCTCTCTCCTCCAAAAAGCCTGTCCTATTTAGGTGGTTGCATGATTGCTACCATAATGATTTGGTGACTTATGTCTCTTTTTCCTCCTTTCTCCCATCCCTTCCCCCCACAATCTAGAGACAGAGACCAGTACCTCCATCTGACACCATTTCAGTGACGGATGTCTTATCCAATCTGTGTAATAAGTTGATCAGCTCAGCCCAAAGCTTCATCTCCTCCACTTGGACCTACTACCTACAGGCAGACAATGGGAAGATGGTAGTTTTCCAGGTGAGAGTGGAGGGAAGGTAGGTGGTGAGTTCCCCATCATGAAAGGTATCCAAACAAATGGATAGATGATGTAGGAGGGAGTTTTTGGGTTAGATGCTCTTTAGTGTCCCTCTTGACTCTTAGATCCTGTGGTTTTAGAGTGGGAAGAGATGAGAGGGATAGGAAAGAGAGCCCCCCCTAAGGACACTGAGCCTGGGTATGAGTCAGCTAGCTCATGGGAGGGTATGTTCAGAGCCCCAGGCCTGCTGTGGCCCTCTGATGGGCACTCCTGTCCTGTCTTTTCCCTCCTGGCTAGTCACAGCCTGAGATGGACGCACCTAACCCAGAAGCAACTCAAAACCATGCCGAGGTGACCTTCCCAGTGGATCTCCATCCAGGTGAGAAATAGGGGCAGCTGTCCCTGAGCAATCTCAGCATTCCTCTTTCCATGTCTCCTAGAGCAAGGGAGGCAGAAGATATGCGGTCCGACTGTTGTCCAGACAATTACTTGTCCACTTCTCAACCATCCATTATCTGGGGTCTCAGGCCCCACTTCCCAGAATCTCCAGCCTCATCAACCCAGAGTCTCAGGGCCCACTAGCTTTGGGTTCTGGAACCCTGACACTCTCCAGTGTGACTGAGCATTGCACAAGGGGATATGTTCCAAAGGGCTCACTCAGCAGTGGGACCTTATCCTTTTGCTGTCCTAGGTCCTAAAGAGAAAAAAGTGAAAACTAAAGGCAAAATGACCCAAGAGACCTCCACGGACTCCCAGCCAGAACACAACTTCCTGGGCTGCATGTCCAAGTAGGTGCAGGGCTTTAGTGGGGAGGCACTTCTGCCTGGGCCTCAGTTTCCCCACCTATAAAACAAGGGGGTTAATGCATCTTAAATTGTGGGTCGAGTGAAGGCCACAGTTTAAGAAGCACTGAAGGGGTCAACAGTGGAAAAAGTTTAAGAAGCCCTGGATGACCTCAGAGGTCCCTTCCAGCTCTGGACTTAGGATGCTCTGGTCCTGTGATTCCTGACCTGAATCTTGTCTAGCCCTGTCTCTCCATATGAGGCAACACTGTTATAGCTGAAAGAAAGCCAAGAGCCCTGGGTTCAAATCCTTTCTCTACCATTTACTACTTCTTTGACTTTGGACAAATAAGTTAACCTCTCTGATCCTCAAGTTTTTCATCTGTAAAATGGGGCTATTCTTGTCACTCAGAATTGGGGGAAAAGTGAGTTATTATTTTGCCCCACCCCTCTACTTAGACATGGTCCATGACCTATCTTCACCCCCTCCCCATGATTAATTGGAAACGGACTTATTTCAGTCCCACTTCCATGATTAATACTCAGTCGTCTCTTCCCCAAGTGTATGAGAATATCTTGTTGGTCAAAGGATTCGCGCTTGGAGCCCCCTACCTCACCCTGGCTCTCAGCTTGGTTCTCTTCCTTTGCCGTGTTGTTGATCTGACAGAAAAGGGCCTGGCCCTTCTTCCTGCTCACAGCCTTGTCTGAGACCATGCCATCTTTGGGGGGCTGGGGTGTAGGCGGTCTGGATTGCCCAAGTGGATCCTGGCCTCCTGCCTCCTCTTTTCGGTGTTTGTCATGCTGTGGCTCAGCTGTGCCAGTCTTGTGACTGCACCAGACCAGCACATCCGGAACCAGGTATGTGGGCGTAGGAGGATGGGGAGGGGAGATACTGAGTGTGCTTCCTGGTCCTTCAATGATCTCAGTCATAGCCTTTTTCATGCCCAGGATTTTTTCTTATCCCTTCCCCACAACCTGGGTCTCTCCTCTTCTCCCCTTGCCTTTGAACCGTAGGATTTCAGATTTGGAAGTTCCCTCTGAGAAAATTGAGTCCAGCCCCCTCCCCAGTGCATGAATCCATGACGGGTGGGCATCTCTGCTCTGCTTGAACACTTCTAAGGATGGGGAGCTCATCACCTCATGAGGCAACTTGATCTTCTCCCCACACTGGGAATTCTGTTCTCTTCCTTTCCTACCCACCCCCCACAGCCACTGAGCATCTCTGGGGACAAGAATTACTTGGATAACCTGGAATGGCCCTTGGCCCCGGCTCCTGCCCCCATGGTAGCCGTAGCTGTGGAGCCCCGGGAAGCCGGCTCCTTGCCCCTAAAGGTGGAGATGGACCGTACAACTCTCTAAATCCCAGAGCACCCTGGAGTTGGAGTTGTCCCTTTCTGCAAACCTCAACCCATGGAAGCCTCAGTGATAAAGGGAGAGGGAGAGATTCAGGGCTCCCACCCCTCTAGGACAGCTCCCCCACCCCGACTCTGCTGCCCAATCCTTCTAGGCCTGGAAAAGTCCCCCTACTGGACCCCAAGGAATAATCCCCAAATAGTCCCCTTCTTCTCTAGTACCTGTTGTCCAGGGATATGTGAGTATGAATGGGGGGGATGATTTGGTCTGAGTTGGGATAGGGCAGGAAGAGGGTCTTGGCTTCTTCCTCCCCACCCTTTCCCCTTTTACTCATCCTACATTACTCCCAGCCCAGTGTAGCTCAGCATGTGAGTTTTGGCCCAGCCTTCCTACCCTTCCCACCCTTAGCCACTCACCCAAAGGGCATCTGGACCCAGTTGAAGCTGATTTCTCTTCCCATTCCCTTCTCCTTTACCTCCACCCTAGATTAATTTATTATTATTTTCTAACTTGTGATCCTCGGCCCCTTCTGACTCATTTTCCTCCCGGTTCTCTTGGGCTAGAGTTAGTTGGGGGAGGGGAAGGTTCTTGGGAACCCCCCCTACCCCACCTCCCAGTCTCCACCATTCAGTGACACCAGGCAGCTAGCTGGAGGCTGGCAGTGGATGGGGCCAGTTGCTGGGGTGAGAGGAATAATAGGGAGTGAATAAAATCTTTATAACTGACATTTTGAGTCAAGAATTTGTGGTCTCTGTATTTGTGTGTGTGTTCGCCTGGGCCATGAAGCCAGGGAGGTAGGAAATAGAAGAACCGATAAGGCTCTTTTCAATGTTCAGGAATGACTTCTCCCATTGACTCTTCCAGCATGGAGCCCTGGCTACTCAGCCCCATGCCAAGGTCTTGGGGAGGGGGAGGGAGACATGCCTGGGGAGGCTGAGGCAGGTCATCCAGTGTGCCAGACCTGGGGGAAGCACTGAGGATGCATGAAAGGCAAAAAACACAGTTCCTCCCCTCAGAGTACTCCCAATCTAATGGAGAAGACAGCTTGCAAACAACAAGATCTATGGGATATTTGGAGGCAAGCTTTGAGGGAAGGGCTGGGAAAGGCTTCTTGTGTAAGGTGAGATTTGAACAGACACTTTCCTTCTGAATCCATGATGTGGGGAGCATGGACGCCCCCATGAACCCCAGAGCAGGAATATGCCCTGGCTTTTAAAGAGGAAGGTTGTTTCCTTGCTCTATTTTGCTTTCCCATCTCCTACCCCCAGGAGCTACTTTGGAGGGTTGACCCTAGTAGGGGTAGTAATTCATTTCTTTTGTTGGGAGGTGAAGGGGTTAAGTGACTCGCCCAGGGTCACACAGCTAGTAAGCGTCCGAGTCTGGATTTGAACTCAGGTCCTCCTGACTCCAGGGCCAGTGCTCTATCCACTTCGCCACCTACCTATTCCTGTAATCCATTTAAGTTCGACAAAGCTCTTTTCCTACTATCAGCCTAGGACGCAGGCAGAGCAAGATTAAAGCCTCATGCCTACCTGGTAGAGGAAGGAACATGATGGGGAAGTGATTTGCACAGGGTCACATGACTGGCAAATGACAGAACCAGTGTCTCTTTATTTTGAGTCCAATCCTTTTTCCACTCCCAGACAGGCAGTTCTTCCTGTGGGAAGAATTTAGGACTGGGATTAAGGTTCTGGTCCCAGCCCTACCCCTTGTGAGTCACCTTTCCCCTCCCTGGGTCTCAGTTTCCCTATTTCTAAAATGCTGGGGGTTGGGTTAAGTGATCTCTACTTTTTCTTCCACCTCTGATGTTTTATGTGCCTCAAGGACTGGTTGGAAGAACTGGGGAGGTTTAACTTAGAGAACACTTGGTGAGGGGGTAGGGGGAACTTTGCAGCTATTTTCAGAATCTGAAGGGCTGGCATGTGGAGGAAGAGGTTTAGACTCATTCTGGTTGGCCCCAGAGGGAGGAATGAGGAGCAGTGGGGTGGGGGGGCGGGAAGGTGCAAAGAAGTAGGTTCTAGGAAACAGCCAGAGCCGTCCAAAGTAAAAGGGGCTGCCTTCAGAATTCCTGGAGGGGTTCAAATAGAGGCTGAATATGGCAGTTTTTTCTCAGGACCCTCCTGGCTCTGACATTCTAGGTTCTAGGGACGCCCCCCATCTTCTGTTCTAAGGGCCCTCCCAGCACTGACATCCTGTGTTTTCTATTCTAAGGTCTTTTTCCCTCTTCCATTCTGTGATCGGTGTTCTAGAAGTTTTGATAAAATTCTTAACCATCTCTGTTGGATGGACTTCAGTCTTCCTGGATGACCGCTTCTAGTGCCTTCTAACTATGGAGGGAAGACTGAAACAGAATGACTCAGCTGTCCTTGGTCATTGTTGGGGGGTGGGGGTTGGGTGGGGAATGACAGGCAGAGGCAGCTCCTCTTCTTCCTCCCTTTCCCCCCCTCCCCTCTCCCCACTCCAGGAGGCTGCCTGCAGTATTTCTGGGAAAGTCTATCTGTCCCTCCCCCGGCTCCCGCAAAGGCTATGCAATGGTGGGTGGTGGGTGTTGTGGCCATGGGCCGGGAATGCCCAGTGTGTCTGCATGATGTGGGAGTTGTCATGGTAACGGGAGGGCTTGATTCCAAGGCAGACCAGCAGAGACGAGGTCCCAAGGGCAGTGGCAGAAGGGGCCTAAGGGAGAGTAGGTCATTCCCTCACTTGGGTTTTTTGGGCACAGTCCACCATGGAAGGGGCAGAAACCTTCCCCAGCATCCCCAGGATCCCAGAAAAGGGAGAAACAGAGTAAATCTGTCAGAGAATAGAAAGGCTAGATTCCATTGCACCTGAGAGCTCTGGCATGGGAATAGAGACCCCCTGGGTTCTAATCCTGGTATTGCTATTTGCTCTTGGAGTTTCCCTGGGCTAATCACTGCCCCTCTCTGGACCCCACTTGCTTCATCTGTAAACAAGAAAGTTGTGGGGGATGATCTTGAAGGTTTTTTCAGGTCCAAATCCTCAGATTTTATGTATGCACATCTATGTACAGACATAAGTGTTAAACATATGTGTAGGTTCACAAACACAAAGGCACATATTATGCATATATATATTATGCATATATATGCATAATAGATTGAGCAGAGATACATGGACACACACATGAGTATGCACAGGCCCCCTGCCCATAAGGATATGAACACACACATGCACAAAGGAACACATGCATGTGTATGAATATCCATGGGGTCACAGTGCAAAATACATAAATACAACACATACATGGTATGTATATACAAATGTACATGAACAAAGCATAAAGATTAAGAATGATCATAGCATTCTATAATTTCTATAATGCTGTAAAGATTTGCAAAGCAGTTTACAAATATTATCTCATTCAATCCTTACAACAGTTCTGGGAGGTAGGTGATGTTGAAACTGAGGCTGACAGCAGCTAAGTGACTTGTCCAAGGTCACAAAGCTGGTAAGTGTCTGAGGCCAAATTTGAACTCAGGTCTTCCTGACTCCAGGTCCAGTGCTCTAACCATTGTGCCATGGTATGTAGGTACATATGCATGTAAGTATATATGTATGTATGTAGACATATATTGAGAAGAATAATACGTTAAAACAATATATTAAATTACAATATAATATAATCCATTAAAACAATATATTATGTTAGAAGAATAATACATTATGCACACAGGTATGTATATGTGTGTATATGTGGGTACTTTATATATACTCATGGGGACATATATCACTGTTTAGAATGCGAATATGCTTGGCCTGCATGACCTCTGTAGGCTCACACACTGGCCTGTGGTCCTGTGGACCAAATGCTCCCCAGATTGCTGCTCCTCATCTCCGAGGTCTTCTGGACTAGGGATGAACCCAGGATAATGAGTGCCCACGGATGCTGGTCTGTTGTTGGCTAGGGGATCTCATTTCTTCCCCATGGGAACTGGTCCCTGTTGGGAGCTCAGCCCAGAAGGAAGTCCACGGACTCCCCCAACCCCCACCAGTCCTTACCATCTGGCCTGTGCCTGTAGCCAGAGAAAGGGGGGAGAGAGGCACAGGCCAGGGGGTGAGTCACACACTCAGACGCTAAGGCAGCCGCCGCCTCCAGGAAACTGGGCCCTGGAGCCCAGGATCACAATGCCTCCCTCCTCTTTCCCGTCACCCCCCCCCCCCCGTCCCCCAGCAGTGCTGAGCTTCAGCCCCAAGATGGAAGGAGAGCTGATCTCACGAGCCAGCAGGATGAACATTCACTCTTTCAGACTTTCATTCCTTCATTCATCCTCTTTGGCAAATACTTGCAGCTGAAGGTACTGATACTTCTGTCTCGACTCAGAACGCTGGATGCTAGAACAGAGAATGTCAGAGATGGGAGGACCTTGGAACTTGTGATACCAGATCTAGGAGAACCCTTAAAACCCTGCACCTAAAATGTCACATAGAATGTCATAGTTGGTAGGATTCTTAGAACATAGAATGTCCACAGCTAGGAGGATTTGTAGAACATGAAATATCTAGGCTGGGAAGGGAGCTTAGAACATAGAATGTTAGAGCTAGAAGGAATCTTAGAATAGAGAAACGTAGGTTACCTCTCTTTTTTTTTTGTTTTTTTTTTAAGCAATTGGGGTTAAGTGACTTGCCCAGGGTCACACAGCTAGTAAGTGTCAAGTGTTTGGTCTGATGCTGGATTTGAACTCGGGTCCTCCTGACTTCAGGGCCAGTGCTCTATCCACTGTGCCACCTAGCTGCCCCTGGATAACCTTTCTTGGACCTGTGTTTTGATCTTTTCTACTAAGCAGACAATAAGACTCGTGAGTGCATGGATGAGGACTCATCTGAACTCTGGACAGTGCCTTCCCCGGCTTCTAGGACAGCTGATATTTGGTGAACGAATCAGAGACAATGATAACATGTACAAGCTGGACGAGGCCTTAGCATCTATCCCCTTCATTTTATGAAAGAGGAAATAGATACAGGATAGGAAAGATGCTCACTTAAGGTGCAATAGCAAGACATTAGTTGAATCACACTGGAACCCAGGTGTCCTGGCTCCCAGCACAGGCGTCTTCCCTCATTTCTGTCCCCATTAACCTCATCCTTATATTTTCCAGTAATTAGTTGGTTGCTGTCCTTTGCTCTTGGAGAGGACCACATGACGTCATTACATTGGGTCAAGGCACAGTGTGTCCCAGCTGTGGCTGATTGGACCAGCAAAAGCTCGGAAGGCTCTACTACTAATAGTCCATATGAAGATCTGGGGTGGAGATGTCTGCAAATTCAAGCATCACATTTCTTTTTCTAGTTGTAAGACCATCTTGGAGCATCCGATCACGTACGACTATGAGGGACCCTGGTCAGCGGCTTAGGGAGGGCCTTTATACAAAGGAAGTTGACCAGGTCTCACTGTCATTTCAAAGAGGGAGAGAAAGTCATGTGTTTTCCCTGGGGTCCAGGAGGTGGGAATGTCCTTGGGGTCCACGTGGTTAGGCTTCTTTGCTTTGAACTCATCCATCTCTCCTTTCACATCTTAGGTTGTGGGAAAAGGAGTCCGATGTCCAGGATGAGGGAGGGGATCATCCTACAGTCCTCAGTTTGGACCAGACCACAAAGCTGGGCAGCTAGGTGGTGCCATAGTGCAGGGAGAACTGGACCAGGAGTCAGGAAGACTCATCTTCCAGAGTTGAAATCCAGCCTCAGAAACTAGTGGTGTGACCCTGGGCAA